ATATATATATATATATATATTGATTACAGATATAAGTCTTAGTAAATGGTTCTATTTTTTAAAATTTTTATGATTTTTCTGCCTATTATGTCATTCATGCCATCCGTCAGGCATCGCAAGGTTAATGTATTTACAGCTTGCAATGCTTGAATGTTGACTGAGTTGCTCTTATTAGCCATCTCTCACATTTTGGAATGACTCATGGGGTTTCCTGACTAACCTGTGAGTAAATGGACTTGGCGTTTCACTACATGAGCTTGCAATCTGTGCATACAAACTTACATAACTTGACAATTATTTATACTTATTGAGTAATCAATGATGTAACTAAACATTGAATATGTGGGAGGACCAAATGTAAAATTGTCATAGAACAACCCCCTAATCTGGGGTGTGCCTTAGTGAATATGCCTATGAACTTCTGGATTGATTTGTGAACGTTTATTGATTCTCGATTCTCAAGACAAACATAGCATGTAAATCTACAAGAACAGACACAGGGACAGATGTGATATCATCAGGACTCCATGTGCCAGATTCTGCTAGACAAACAGGGCACCTGTTACACCTCCGATACATCATAACTGAAGACCGCAAAGCAAGAACAAACACTCCCCTGTCTAGAGGCATTCATGCCTGTTTTATGATCAACAGCCAAAGAGTCTGCAGGCGGCATGAATGAGTGAGGAATATTCCTGCAAATGTCAGGCCACCTGCCAAACATATTGCATCATTTGGGTCAATGCCAATAAATGCGTTTTTCAAGGGCAAATGGATGGTTTAAACTGACAGAGCAAACTGCTAAACCTTCTGGTGTTGTGAAACTAATAATGTATATTAGCCATGGGTATCAAACAAATGAATCCAATTTTTTGAAAACTGTGCAGCAACAGTAAGCTGTGTGCATTATGGGATTTAAAGGTCCCCTGATAAATGCCTGCTAATGGATGAGCCAGTCTGAAGTGATATACCAAAATTAACCTCAGCTGACTTCCTACTGCATGAGGATATTAAGTAATGTAAATGTTTACAATACAATAGGCATATTAAGTCATGACAAAAAAATAATATCATTGTCTATGAAACAATGACACAAGGATAAGTCATGGCATGCACAAGTCTTTAAAATGATGATAAGTGCAGGGCTCGCAAATCGCTAGCCCGATGTCCCGGGGCTATATGGTCACCAGAATGTATCACCTCTGTACTTCATCATTTGCACGTGTTTCTAAGTCTTGCCAATTTAAACATTCAAGCGTTTTAAACCATTCAAGCACAAGAAGAGGCAAACGAGAACTCAATTCGGTACTCGCGGGTTGTAAATTGTGTGCATTGGCTCAAAGCGCGCACACAGAGAGCGGCGTTCCAGACAGCGCGCAGAAAAAAAATGTATTCCTCTATCACGTATCCTTGCACCTGATTGGACACATACACACAAAATGATCTCAAAATAACTAATATTTCGTGCATTCGGTCTTAAAGGGGCAGCAGCCTATAAATACCTGCTGCAGTCTGTCAGCTTTAAAGATCTATAATTTATACAGTGATCATTATGCAGTGTTATTTTACATTTAATTATAAAATTTATCTTAGGGCTGCACGATTAATCGAAATTAAATCGCAAAGGCGATAAATCGCGATTATTCAGAAGCTGCGATTGTCATGCGTATCTTTCAGTGAAGCACGGTTCTGTGATCAGTAGTAAATCTCCATCCGAAGGCCAGAGGGCGCTTTCGCGCTGAAACTCCAAATACACCTAGCAGAAGAAACCCAGGAAATGCCTATAGCTGTTGCTGAATAAACATAATTTCTCTACCTGAAAACTAATGTTAGACCTAATTTTATTTGTAACTTTGTTCTGTTTTATTTATCTATGCTTGTAATTTGTTCATTTGTTCTTAATTTACTGACTACTGCTACTAGGGGTGTAACAATGCATGCTAGCCAGTTGAAAATCAATAAAAATATGTGACGATTCAAGTCGGTTGAGATGTTAAATGAATCGCGATACATTTGGGTGTGGGGGTTTATATGAATGTATCTCTGAGGGGATCTGACTCTCTTCAGAAAAGTTTAGTTGGTATTTTCTTTTCATCTTGCCTCTGTTTAATGCATAAACTGCTTTCATTAATTCAACGTGACTAATAAACACACGACTAATAAACACACGACAATATATGGTTTATCTGAGATCGTCTTGTTATAATTTTTATTATAATAAAGTATATAATAATGCAATGCTAATCGACATAGCCTTTATCACTGCTTGGAATACTATGAAATATGTTGCGTGCCTTATTCTGTGTAAGAAGCCACATCATCTCACAGAAGGAAAAATATGTGACGATTCAAGTCGGTTGAGATGTTAAATGAATCGCGATACATTTGGGTGTGGGGGTTTATATGAATGTATCTCTGAGGGGATCTGACTCTCTTCAGAAAAGTTTAGTTGGTATTTTCTTTTCATCTTGCCTCTGTTTAATGCATATTAAAGTAGTGCTTTGTTTACAGCGGTAACCAAGGAAACGCAGTATCTCTGCTGTTCGAAAAAGCGCCACCTGCTGTCAGAGAGTGGATTTGCTCTCTCATTCAGCCGTCTGCCGTTTCTGTTTCGTGCAGATATGTTTTATGTAGAATTATTTCACGAAACTAAAATCAGACCATTCTGTTTTTGCTTCAGATGTCGAAATTATAGTCTAATTACAATCTAAATAACATATATGCAGCATCTTTGTTTGGATCGTGATTAGTGGTTGACTCTAATTTTCAAAGAGCACAGGCAAAGCCTTAGTTTGTTTATATGAAGAGATTTCTTTTATTTTGTTTTAATTTATTTTTATTTTAAAATGTATTTTAAAATTTCAATTTAGTTTTGTTATTTGACATATTTCAATTTAACAAAGAAATGTGCATAATTTTGTCTGAGAAATAATAAATGGACACCTTTTCATTTATAATATCTTAAATGTCCCTGTTAAAAAAAAATGTGAGAAAATCTTATTGTGAAATCAGTAACGTGAATCGTAGGCTATCGCATCGTGAGTTGAGTGAATCTTTGCATCCTTATATGCTACTACTGTAGTTTTTGCTGTGGTATCAATAAGTAGCCTAAAGTGTTCTTTAAATAATAAGTGTTATTTAAATTTAACATTTAAATTGTAAATTTATTTTAAATTTTTTTGCTCATCTGAAAAATAATCCGATCTGTGACTCAGAAATCTGTAATATGATCCGAGCTGTGAGTTTTGTGATCCGTTGCACCCCTACTCACTTGACTTGTTATTTGAAGAAAAAAATACAACCACAGAAGTTTTTGATCATGCTGATTTGTCCGCAGTGAAGTTCACCCGATGTCCTTTTTATTCGGGCTAGTTAAATTCATTTTGGGATACCAAAATCTGAAGAATGCCTGCCCGAAAGGCTACCAGGGATTTTGAAATTTTGCGAGCCCTGTAGTGTATATAAAATATTAAGTCAATGACAGTAAGACCACAACTATATAGTCATGTAGCCTAAGTCACTTTGATTTAATAAAAATATCAATAGTCAGTATCTTTAAAACAAAAACAACAGGGATAAGCGAATATATTTAAAATTATAAGGCATGGTATTAAGTAAATCAAATGTCTGTAGGCTAATAAATAATTAGTAATATTAAGCCATAACCTCAAAAATGTAAATACACTTAAAATTATATTTATTCAAGAATAACAAAGTGTACTTCCTATTTTAATAGGCTACCTTTTAAAATAGGTCAGACTGTGTCCCTAATTTAACCTTTAACAATTCCACATTTGATAGAATTGTTATTTAGCTATTTTATTATTAAATATTGACTAATGTAGGATAATAGATGAAAACTCACAAACAATAGCCTACAATAAGGGTGTGCCACCGTTACTATTATGTTTTTTGTTTTTTTTTAAATAATTGTCTTATTATCCTGTAATGATCTTTTGTTTGGGCTCCATCCTCACTACAGTAGTATATACACCAAAAACGACACCAATTAGCCTACATCTACTGTCCCTTTAAATCCAACAAATCCAGAATATTCGAGAGGACAAGAGAAGCATAATGCGTAAACAAATGTATCCCCCACTTACCATTATCAGCGACCAAGTCATAGACATTTTCCCAGGCATTGTCCCCGTGGAAACAGTCTTGTTTAAATATGCCCAGGTCCACATCTGCTACTTCATAGGTGGAGCATCAGCATCTCCGCATCAACAGGACACCCACATTGTTGTGAGGTATTGTCCCTTTGCTGGATTATTCCCTCAGTGTACAAATTTCGTCCACTGACGCCTTTTTATAGTCTGTGCCCCGGAGTGCACGGGTTTCAAGTAGTACGGGATAAACGCTTCGATTTGGAAGAAGAACGCTATAATTCCCATAGCGATGATGGATGGATCTGTGGACTGAAGTCTGGCTGCTGTTTGTCCAGGTTACGGATTCCCTGTGCCGCAAAGACGGGCTGCGGATGATGGGCGGGTACTAGCGACACACGTCACGACCGAAACCCGCCACTGGCTGCTTGTCTGCGCCGCACGCCGTATCACAGGCCTGATACGAGACCGTTTCCGGGAAGATACTGGGGGTGTTGTGATGTAAGTGTAGTCTACCCTACAGGGTGTTAGACTAACAAATAGTATCACTAAAGGTGTTACACAGGTGTAGCCTACCGTACGCCCACACGAAGTTAATTATTATCATTGTGGCACACACTGTGGCAAATCATTACAGTAAATTGGACAATGTGACCTAAACTTAACCTTATAACTTATATAAAGTTAATTATAAAAGGTCTGTATAAAATGTATAAATGCAAAAACATATATAAGATAACATGCTGAATAAAAAATCCATATTTTATATAAAATTGTAGGCTATAATTTACACTTTAAAACAAATAATTATAGAAATATTGCAGTGCCATACCTAACTATTTAAACTGTTGCAACTCGCTATATATACATAATTTGTGTATATCTAGTAAAAATCTAGTAATTAGTAATAGAAATTTCTAGTAATAATAATTAGTAATCTTGTCATTTTATTATAATATGAATATATGTATATAAAAATTATAAAATGTATTTATTAAAAAAAATACATAAGACAGGTATAAAAATATATATAATAAGAACTATATATAAGGTTTTAAGATATAAAAATATTACATACGCTGAATAAAAAATACATTTATATTTACATTAAATCGTATAATTTATGGTATGAAATTATTACATTTTACAGGGCAAAAATAATACAAATATTTTTACACATGACTTTTATTGTCACCTCAGAGTGGTGGTCATATATGAGTGATCTCACCCTTGTAGTTAACTTTTGCTTGGTTAAACTGATGGTGTTTCAACTCACTATTATAGTTATACACACAATTACACACAAATATACACACAACTTAAAAACATAGAATTATTACTATCATTATTATATATACATATATACATGTATGTTCACACATGTATATATGTATATATACATATACATACAGTACATGTATGTATGCCTATGCCTACACTGTCCAGTCTCATTTGCATTATTGTTTGAAAGAAATTACCTCATCCAAACAGTCATTCTCGGGCCTCAGACGTATGCAAACAGCATAAGGCTCTTTTGTGTCACTGGCACAAGGAAAGGAGATCATTTCCAGTGTGTCTCAGACAGGCAGAGCTCAGAGCCCACTGGCATATGAAGAGCACACCATCTGGCATAGGTCTACACGTGCATCTGAGAGCTAAAAGGATGAATCGGGGAAATGCTCTCACGTGCCACACAGTTTCTGCCCCGGGAGCTCACTCTGTGGGTTAGTGAGTTAGACGATGGGCTAAGAGAAAAGCCTTGGTCTGACTAACATTAGTGCATGCTTGCTGAAATATACCACAATTTGTGCCGCTGTGCAATCACACACCACCTAGTGCTTTAAACATACAATATTTCACCAGCACTGTGGACTGAAAGCTTTTAAATGTTACTAAATTTGTATTACGTGTGCTGACATTAGATTTTTGTCACTCAGCATCTGCTACAGGATATTAAGGGATGCATCTGTAGTTCTAGAGTTCAGATCATGAATATGTCTGAAGCTGCACAACCAAATTATATTTTATAATTATATGTCAGTTATTAATAATTAGAACGGAAATACTCAAAATGGCTTAAAATTATGTTTAAATCATTATTGTAATATACTTTATATTATATTAATATACTATATATATTATATTAATATAATATAATATATATATTATATTAATATACAAATATTGTATATTTGATTTGATATCAAGTTCAAATTAAGAAATTTAAAGTAATATGGAGAACAGAAAGTAAGATAAAGAAAATACATGGTTAAAGTAAAAGAAAATACAGTGTCATTCCACCCTGTCTTAGTTTTGTAGGTTGTACATATTCTGCCCTCTACTGGCTAAGAAGAGCATTAAAAAAAAAAAAAAAGCAATTATTATGTCAATCAAGGACATAATAATGAGAATTTTACAATGTCTTGAACCTATTTAATGATTTGATTTTGAAAAGCATTTATACAACAAATAATGACATTTAATTGAAAGAGGCATAAGATCAGTACTAAATAAGTTTTCTCAACTAAGAAACTAAGGCAATTTAAAGTGAATGTTTCAATGGCATAAAAGGAAGCAGCTTCTGTGGTTGTACAAGTCTAAACAATTGCTTGGAGTTCCCAGAAAGGGAAAGACAAAAAACAATAGAATATATTGAAAGAAATGCCACTTATACTTCACAGGTCTATATAAAGAGGGTAAAAATAACAAAATAACAGAAACATCAAGCAATATTAAGGACCTATTAAGGAGTAAGACCACCCTTTGCCCTTGAACAGTCTTGTAATGCTGCAAGTTCTGAACTGTGTTTATGAGGGAATAAATTAAGCACATATGAATCAAAGATCTCTGCTTCAGAGCTACCCATAAAGTTTCAGTGATGTTTACAGCATGTCTAGGGATTAGGGAGGACATGGAAAGCGTGACTTCATTCTCAATCTCCATTCCTAGGAAAACATTGGGCCTTATGATCCCATTAGATGGATGTAAAGATGTAAATTGTGGGTTGATGTGTGTGCGTATATATACAGTGGGTACGGAAAGTATTCAGACCCCCTTAAATCGGTCAAAATAGCCTCTAAAAGCCCAGCACAAAATGATACAGAGTTTTTGTATCATCTTTTTTTGGTTAGCTGTTTACTCATACAATACAATATAATATAATATAATATAATATAATATAACTGACCATTTTACTTTATTATTTTTCATGATTTTCCATTATTACTGCATGGGTTTTTACTATAACAACAATACATTTAGTGCTAACAGTGCTATATTACCATGGTTCCTTCATTATATTATATTATATTATATTATTTCAAACAAATGTCAGTTTTTATGGTTTATATCATAAACAGAATACAAAAATGCTTAGGTTGCATATTATTCCACTATCTTGTAGCATAAAAAGGGTCTCATGTTACCTTTAGATGATGCTAAGTCTTCTTCCAGAGTAAGCGTTAGTGTAAAGCAACCAGTTTTTCTCAGTAAATGTAATTCTTTGTGGTTGTTCTGTAATCATGAACATAGGCTGAGAAGATATTATTTCAAACCTGCCATAAAAACTTAGGGAAGTACATGGTTATGGAAACTGGCTTTGATTGGGGCAATTTCAGTTTACAGTTAACAGCTTAATAATCAAATTGAATGCAAATAATTCAGCCACAGAGAGACATTCAGCTGAGAGTAGACGAGATTTCACAGCTACTTCACCGCCTACATAGTCTGTTGACAAAAATATCATAAGAAAGTGACTGCAGAATGACTGGTATTCCCCACCCCCAATGTAAATGCAACATATTGCTTTATCATATTTAAGAAAAAAATAAACAAAAATACGCCTTTTTCATTACTAATACACTTTAAGGACTTTTTTATATATACAATAAAAAACAAGAGTATATTTCCCAGTTGATTTAAATTGTTTGCTCTACATAATAAACAAAGTATTGCATATTCATACAATAAAATAAACAAATATATATTAATTATATTTTTATATAGGTAAATCACTGCAAGATTTGCGTGTATATGAACATTTGTGCTTTAATAACCAATTTAAACCAAAATGTCATACCTCAGCCTCTTGCATTCCAGCGAGGAAATCTGACTTCTCGCGGGATCCTCCCGATGAAATATCGCGGAGGTAAATCTAAGAAAGGTGGAGACTTCGGGATAACTTCCTGCACAGTACTCTCAAGAATCATACCTCATACTTAAAACAACAGGCCGACATCAAAACCAAGTCGAATGGATTAGTAGCGCAAATAAACTCGTTAACAAGCACTTCACCCTCACGATTCCACGCATAAGTAGGATTTACCGCTAGCATCCAGCCTGCTAGCTAACATCAGCTACCAGGACGGCAGATTGTACACATCAGATCAAGACGGTTTCGTATCGAAGGACAGTATGGGTGAGTTAAACTCGCTTCTTATGGATCAGTTACAGTGTCACTTCGCGTTTCAGTTTCCAATGAAACAGCGCGAGCGAGTCACTTTAGCGTCATTTTAAAAACAAGAAACTGCATCCAAGTTGAATAAAGAAAGAAAAAATTGTGAGCAGATGAATATTTGTCTAGGCGCCAGTGTCGTAAACTGGCTTGACTTGTCCAAACCAGTAAATTCCAGGCGTTTTGCGTCAAGAGCAATGACTCCCTGTTGTGCTACTAGAGTATTATTGTTTACCTTTTGGATGTAAGTGGCTTTGACGTCGTTTGATTGTTTTTAAAGGAGTTTATACTAGTTGCTGTGGCTCAATTCCAAGTAAGCCCCCTTAAAGGGTTAGTTCACCCAAAAATGAAAATTCTGTCATTAGGATGTCTGTGTCAGCTGCGTCACGCCGATACGCTGTTTCCGTTCAGATCAAATCACAACAACGTAGGAAACAGATCCGGTGTGACGCAGCTGACACAGAACAGCATACGTTCAGCGGATATTCTCCAAAATGGCACCAGGGTGATGCGGAGGAGACGAATTGTTGAATAAAGTCTTTTTTTTTGTTTCTTTTGTGCACAGAAAGTATTCTCGTAGCTTCGTATAATTACGGTTGAACCCCTGATGTCACATGGATTATTTTACAGATCTCCTTGCTACGTTTCTGGACTTGGGAACATTTCAGTTGCATTGCTGTCTATGCAGGGTCAGACAGCTCTCAGATTCCATCAAGAATATCTTAATTTGTGTTCCAAAGATGAACGAAGGTCTTACGGGTTTGAAACGACATGAGGGTGAGTAATTAATGACAGAATTTCCATTTCTGGGTGAACTAACCCTTTAAAGGTGTACTCCGTTATTTTCGCTGATGTGTAAAATTTTATATTTAAAGAAATAAAACGCACTTTTGACAGATCTCATTACAATGATATGCACTCAAATACCATGGAGAGTCCAAACCATGTCAGTTTTCTAGAAAAAGCTGTTTTATTTAACATGAAGCGGGTCGCCCCCTTATGGGCGCCATCATGTTTACATCACATGACACGCTGTGCGATGACCGATTTACTACTGTTATTAATAACAACAATAATAATCATGTCAGTGTCAATTCCAAAACTAATAGTAAGACGAATAAGAACCAGCTAAAGCCTAACAAAAACTTACCGAGTGCACCTTTAAGTTGACTGTGCCTTTAATAAGAAGCACCTCCCTTGCTAGAAGTTAGGCAGGTATTAGGTAAACAAATGTTATAGTGGAAAACGTTAGGTTAGTACTTGTTTTGCACTGTCATGCTCTTGAGCACGACTCTGCTGGTTTGAATAAAGTGCAAATGGTATGAGTTGTCTGCAAATCCTCTTTTGGGTAGCTTCATTTCCATATTTACTCCTCTCAATTTCAGGTTGATGACACTTATTGTACTTACTGTATTTTTATTTGCAGTTATTTTTACTATACTACTGGAATAGAGTGGGGGATTTATGATGTCAGAATCCGGAAGTGTAATTGCTGCGGGTTCCTTTGAGATTTTCCTATTGGGTTTTATAATGGGGTTTTTCAATTTATGAGTAAAATAAAGCCTGTGGTAAACATAACATAAATTTTACAATGCTTTGGGGTTTTGTTCTGCAACGTGAATTACACACATCCCTACCCAAAACACAAATTTTGAAGCAGTTATGTTAATTTTTGAAAACGTATGTTTTTAATAAGTAACTAGATAAGAATGTTTGGGCTGTGAGTGTGTGCAGTTTACATTGTAGAACAAAAAGTAAAAGTATCATCAAGTTATGTTTACCACAGGCTTTATTTTACTCATAAATTGAAAAACCCCATTATAAAACCACATAGGAAAATCTCGAAGGAAACTGTGGCGAATTTCACTTCCGGTTTCTGACGTCATATTTCCCCGACTCTATTAGTGAGGGAGTTACATTCTATGTCAGGTGACCAAGCCATTGGCTCATGCTTGTATTGTTAGTA